ATGCCCCTGCCAGCTGTGCCATGCCCATCCCAGCTCGGGGACACGGTGACAACCCCTCAATCCTCAGCTGGCAGAAGGTTGGCACGCTTCTTCCCGACCCACCCCGGTGAGCTGGGGGTGAAGGCTGTCCCCTTGTCCCCCTGGGCACCTCCTCTCCGCGGGGCCGCCGGTGACACTAGGTGGCACCGCGAGGAAGGGAAAGGCGACATTACCGAGCCACCAGGAAGAGGACACAGCTGACGGCCAGGTAGGCGAGCAGCATGAAGAGCCAAACTCCCGGAGAAAAGGGGTCCAGGAAGGAGAAATAGCCCGGTCTGCGGCCCTGGGGAGGGAAAAAAGGAAAGGAGTTGGAGATGGTGGGGTTTGGAGGGGTGAAATTGTTTGAAAGGAGGGAGGGGACACACCTGGACTGGGGAAATGAAGAAATGGGAGAAATGGGAGAAAGAGGAGAAAGGGGAGAAAGGGGGAGAAAGGGGAAAAGGGGAGAAAGGGGGAGAAATGGGAGAAGTGGGATAAAAATGGGAGAAAAGGGATAAAAATGGGAGAAGGGGAGAAAGGGGGGAAAGGTGAGAAGGGGGATAAAAATGGGAGAAGCGGGATAATAATGGGAGAAAGAAGGAGAATTGGGAGAAAGGGGGAGAAAGAAGAGAAAGGGAACAAAGGGGAGAAATGGGAGAAGGGGAAGAAAGGGGGAAAAGTGGGATAAAAATGGGAGAAATGGGATAAAAATGGGAGAAGGGGGAGAAATGGGAGAAAGAAGGATAAATGAGAGACAGGGGAATAAATGGAGAAGGGGGAGAAGAGGGAGGAAGGGAAATAAATGGGACAAAGAGGGATAAATGGGAGAAGGGGGAGAAATTGGAAAAGGGAGATAAACAGGAGAAGGGAGATAAATGGGAAATTAATGGGAGAAGGGGGAAAAAATAGGACAAAGGGGAATAAAAGTGGGAGAAATGGGAGAAATGGGAGAAGGGGGATAAAAATAGGAGAAGGGGTATAAACTAAAAAATAATAAATAATAAGTGAYGAATAATAAAAATAAATAAAAACAAATAGGATAAACCATGCTTTGGAAAAGCCTTGCAGGGCAAACAACCGACAGCAACCCAACAAATGATCAAGTCCTGCAGCATCTCCGCACTGGATTCATCCTTTAAATCTGTTTTYCTGCCCATTTTTGTTCCTCCACACAAAAGAAGCAGTAGATTAAGAAAAAAATGAGGCAATCACAGCGTTCTGCCCCCTCCCTTGCAGGGTTTGCTGCATCCCTCACCCCTGAGTGGGGTCCCCCCATCCCTGTTCACCCCACACTTAAAGGGGCTCCCTGGGAGCACACCTGAGCTCACAGGTGGGTGGGGAATTCATTTGTGCAGAAAAATGGAAAAAAAAAAAAAAAGATATGTTTTCAAAACTTCTGTTTTTMTTCATTCAGCCTTGAAATGTTTCTTCTTCTACAAAAACCCCAATAAAATTATTACTTTTATCTCAGGGAACAGGATATTTTTATCTCGGGATGCGTCAGAATTTCCTGGTTTTTTTCTCTCAGCAAAAACCACCTTTCCTTGAAAAAAATGAGGCCTCACTGCTCAAAAAAGCAGGTTGATCTTCTCCCAGAGCATTTTAAATTTTCACAAGGATGCTGCCACCACTGGAATATTGTCAGACATCACAAAATTTGTGCAAAGGGGGGGGGGTTAATTTCTTGGAGAAGTTTCTCAGTTTCTGAAATCCCATTCTGAGTGGATTCCTCCCGCCACCATCTGTGGATGCAGCTCCTCTGAACCCCAAGTCACCCAAGGGACAGGGAACATGATCTCAGAGCTCACAAAATCCTTTATTTTCCATCCCAAATCACAAAATCGGTCCTGGCATCCCCAAAACTGCCCCACAGCTTCTTCAAGCACCTGTAACTGAGAAGCTTCCCACAAATCACAGCTCTGC